CCGGCAAGCTGTAACACGAAACCTGCATAAATCAAGATGATAATGATATAAAATGACACGCCCCCCCTAATTCAACCCTTCTGAGTTTGAATATGGGGTTATTTTGGTCTGAAACATCCTATATCATGAGATTCAAAACAAAGTGTTCTTGATTCCCTAACAATGGCACAACGTGATTCCTGCATCCAATCTCATATGTAACATGTTAATCCTGTTCTAATGATGCATATGAGAAGTTTAAACAGATTAGCCATGATCAAAACTACATGAAATCAAAGTTTAGGATTTTACCAACTTAACAAATGGGGTGAGGGAAAGGTCACGTTCTGATGCTTGAGAGATGCAGTTATGGGCTCAGATCAACTCCTTTGATCCTCAGAGGATGAATGTTGGCCTCAGTTTCAATTGATGATGGCTGGAAGTTAGGTTACAAACTTTTGCGATTTCTTTTGAATTTTGTGAACTTTGGAGGTTTTCTTAGGCAGTGATTTTTCGTGTCCATTCTTGATCTGATGCTTTCACTTATATAGAGGAAGAGAATGTCTCAATATACATGGCAAGGAATCAAGCAATCAAGCCATGATAAAACAAAAATAAAGCATATTCAAAACTTTCCATTTTTGAGTTTGTTCTTGCCATTTTGATCCTTGCACGATTTTGGCATGTTTTGTGATAGGCTAGCATGTGTTGTTTGGGCCTCCAAGAGATTAGACCATAAACCTTACATGCCTTTCCCATTAAACTTGAATTTTGTTTGATTTAATTTTGATTTTAAATAAATAAAATCAAAATAAATAAAATAAAAAACTAAAATAATGTATGAATGCACTTAAGGGTCTTTAAATATGTCATGAACACATTTGAATTTCAAAACATAGGCCCAATAGCTCAAAATCACAAATTTGCTCAATTGAGATTTCATGCATTTCCTCAAAATTTCCCAACTTGTGCAACTCATAACTTGCTCAATTTTCATCTTTTGAAAGTTATCCTAGACTTTTTTAAAATCTCAAGATGTCCTCTATAATTTCTATTTTGATCATTTTTGCATTTGGAGATTTTATCTTGATGTAAGTTGCATTGACAAAAAGTGTGTTTTGGTTGACTTTTGAAAGGACCTATAATGTATTAGCTCATATCTTTAAAATGAATCACTTTTTGGATTTGAGCATAAATACAAATTTGTATAGAATTTAATTTCCTTTAAAATTGGCTTTGGTTGGGGAAAACTTGATGAAGCATGTAAAATGTATGCTTGGTCAAAGTTTAGCTGACTAATCCTAAGGAAACTCTAATTTGGCAATTTTTTGACCTTTGATGATTTGAGGGCTTTCCATGAGGAATCATATTCAAACCTTGATCAAATTATGAATGTCACTTCAAAATGTTGATGTTGACAAAAAATCTTCAAGTTTGACTGTATGTTGACCATAGTTGACTTTTTATCCAATATAGTTGATTTTCAATCATCTGAGCCATTGACTGAGCAAACTTGTGACGCAAGACTTGAAACTTGACGTAAGCACTATTGAGGACCTATTATGAACCATGAAAACCATTTGAGAGCTTGGCAACCCAAATTTCCTTGAGAAACTCAAAACCCTGGTTGTAGACCCTTTGCTTAAGAGGAGTATTTTGACTAGTTAACCCTTGAGTAGCTTTGAGTATTTGAGACCTTTGTGAGCATGTATTGAAGAAAAATGGGAGGGAAAATTTTGGGGTACAACATAACCATTTTCAGTCAAGATAGGCATGCTTCCAGAATTCGTTTACAAGATTCACGTAAACAGGTTTCTTCAGCATACTGAAGTATCTTGTCCATTGTTGAGAATAGAACACATTTGAGATGTTGGAAGAAATGTTGCTTTCAAGAGAGAAATTTCAATTTATTTTTCGATGATGATTCCAATAAGATCTTTATTTCCCAGAAAGGTTGGTTGAGGCATGATGAAACATATGAGAGGAAAAATCTTGATAGGAATTAGTTTATGTGAGGATGAGATAAATATGATAAATCACTGTTGAGATATGTATATATATAAGAGGGTAGGGAGATTGTACTAATATGCACAAATGACATAGATCACTGACACAAAACAATAATTTCAAAAAAATTTGAGTGAACCAGCCTTTATAAAGATAGAGTACCATACAGGTTCTAAATAAGGACTTTTGAGTGTATTGGCATTTGGAGGTGACAGACTAGAACATAAATAGAAAAACATTAAACATAGTTGCTTGAATGAGAAGTTATCATCACATACAACATTCGTAAAGTATTCGGCTCATCCTTAGAGAACTTACGAGTTCACGTTGTCTAGAGAATTGAGTTCTAGATCATGAGATTTTCACTTAACCAGAAAATTCACAACTTGGAGTTGCACTAATATTTGGAATGCTTCTGTTTAAATAACATCTTCTAACTTGTAGACGTAATTTTATCAGAAGTTCTAATAAGTTATATATAAAAGAAAACATACCTTTGAGATACTGGAATCTTTACAGTGATTCTTTTATCTGAGTGCTCTCCATTCTGGTTTTAACTTTAGCCCGTCCTTGATAGAGCTTCTGATAAGCTTGTCATGTCTTTGAAGATTTTATCTGTCTTTAATTTTAGCTTTATCTTGGAGCCCACTTCTGAGTAACTTCTTTCGTCTTATGCTTTTTGAGTTACTTTCAAAAACAACTGGCTTCTTAATTTTTCTTTCTTCAGATACATTCTGCTGCATTATAGCGAAGAGTGTCGCTTCCTAGAGAACCCTTCTAGAATTTTCTGAAACTGTCTTTCTATAGAGAATTCTCCTTTTCTCCGGAACATAGCTAGTTCAAGTATGCAGAGCTTCCGATGCTTACTTCAGATAATTTCTTTTCTCAAGATGTTTTTGGTTTTTCTCTAACTGGATCTCTCTACACGGTTAAGTGTTTGATTTAAGAATCAATAACAGAGCCTAGCTCTGATACTAATTGAAGGTGGATAAAAACACAAGAAAGGGGGGTTTGAATTGTGTTGATAGAAACTTTTTCCCTTTCTAAAGAGTTTTTGAAAGCCTTTGAGCAAGTATAAATTAATAGCAATAAAGAAAACATTCATTTTTATACAAGTTCACCTTCTCAACCAAGGCTACATCTTGTCCACCCTCCTCAGGTGATTTTTCCTTAGAAAATGACTTAATCCACTAATATTGAAAGATTACAACAACCTCTAAGAGTCTAGAAAGACCTCTTAGCCTTCTCAAGTATACAGACTAGAAAGTCACTTGAGGAAACACCAATTCTAGAAACAACCTCAAAGAGTCTAGAAAGACCTCTTAGCCCTCTAAAGTATATAGACTAGAAAGTCACTTGAGGAAACACCAATTCTAGAAAGAGTCGTTTTTTCTGGAGATTTACAAGAGTGCTTCTTATCAATAAGATTTTTCCTACTAAGAGTACATATTATTTTGACAAGCTTTTGAGCAACAACTCATTGTCTAAAACCATTTACATGAATGTCTCTAAGAGATAACACAATCAAAGCAACAACTCTTATATTTTGCATGTTTCTACAAGATTCAATGTTATGGAGATTAAGTGCAAAACACCTTGTAGTCTTTTTATCTTCATCTTATTTGTTACAAGCTGAATAAAACAACTTCTATCTTCTTTTCTGGTTTCTCTTGAGATGCATTTTGATTTATATTTTGAATGACATCTTGTTGAGATCTTTAACTTCTTTTCTTCAATGATCAAGACACGAGTATTGACTCATGTTTCTTATTTCTTGTTGATCCTTCATTCTTTATGTGGTTGTGATGTTTTTCTTGTAATAATGACAACCCTTTTTGGAACTAATTTGTGATGAGCATGTTGCTTCTTAGTAAGCTGTTAACACCTTAATACGCTTAATGAAATATTACACTATAGAGCAACAAATCAGTGTAAATATTGCATTTCAAAGTAATACTACTTTGTGTTTGTGAAATTTTTGGGGTTGTTGAGCCACACACCACATGGCCATTTTTCCACATGTATTCAAAGTTGCTTTATATAGGCTTGAGATAATAGTACCGTTGGAGCATATAATGTGTTGTAACATGTATTTTAAAATTTGATATGTTTTCAATGCAAATATGCTTTTTGTAATGATTACTGTGTAGGATGTGTGGTTTCTTATTTTTATTTATCCAAGATATAGCTGAGAATTTGCCATCATTGTTCTCCTCGAAAACTATGATTATGTGTCAGTTTTGATTAGAGCACTATTGAAGATGTATCTGGACTTTTCTAGTCTTTTGTTTAACTTGTTTCTGTAGAACTTGATTTCTCTGGAAGATGTTATTTTTGTTTCTGAAGTGCTGAGCTTGAGACTTAATGCTTGTCTTGTTCTTCTGATGAGTAGTTCAGAAACTATTGATTTGATGTAGCTTAGAGACACTAGATTAAACTTTAGGAACATATCTTACTTTCAGAGCTTTAGGCATCAGCTTATCTAAAAAGAGAGCTTCAGTTGTAGAAGCTTTCTGATTCTTATATCTTCGACTTTCTGAGCTATATTTACGCAAGCTCTTAGAATCTTTCTGATGGACAGTCACGTCTTCAGATGTATAGATAACAACTTATCTTGAGATACAACTTCAATTATATACGCTTTTTGATTCTTGTATCTTCAACTTTCTGAGCTATATTTGCGCAAGCTCTTTTATAGAATTTTTCTTGTTATTAGATTTGCACACTCAATAAAACCATTAGTAACACTAAAATTGTTACTCACACAATATATGGTTGTTATCATCAAAACAAAGAATTTCTTATAAGCTTTCTTACTCTAACAGAAATCCTACATAACGTGAATCCAAAGGGCAACATGGTGCATGAAGCCACTTCCAAAAGAAGTTAAACTATCTTCCCTTAGCCGACCATCTTACAAAGAGATGCAGCTACGAACTCCATATCATCAAAAGAGAAAGAGACATCAAATGCCTCCTCACAGCCCATGAAGAGGATGAGGTAGTCCGTTCTTCCTAAGGAACAAGTAGAGAAATCATTAATGAAGGATTCGCAAAAGAATCCTCTTTGTGCACGTATCTTGGACAACCAGATACCAAAGTTGCTGGAAGAACCTCCAAAGTTGAAGGAGTACGACTAAAAGGGAGATCTGGACAAGCATATACAACATGTTGATGACCGTTTACACTAATAATAATTTGATCTTTCAGACTCCGATTAAAAGCTTTGCTCGATGCAAGCATTGATTCGTGGGATGATCTGTGTGAGAGCTTCACCGCTTATTTCACAACTTGAAAAAGGAAACTAGGGACAATAGTTACCCTCAACGGGATAATGCAGGGGAAGAAGAAAAAATTTTGAGCATACATAAACTATTTCACGCAAGTAGCTGTGGAAGTAGGAGGAATTGAAGAGGATCTCAAGTGTTGGATCTATAGCATGATATAAAGCATGATAGATACTTCATGGAGAAATTAGGGCGTATTGAAGGATATTTATTCTACGATTACCGAAGTTCCATTGGTCCATACCACCTTGCCTATAGGGTTTCTATTGCAGTTGTTGAAGACCAGACTCAGTCTCCTTCTCCTAATAACAAAAAAGGACCATGATTGGGATCATAGTCTTCTTCCATTGGGATATTTGGCTAAACATATTGGGTTGTCTAATGGTTCTTCTTCTGGGTCATCCACTCATCTTCTCAAGCTGCCAACCATTTTTCCATCCTGGATTCCTCACACTTCTCATGAGGAACTCGATGCTATCTATGAAGATGTCATAGCCTATCTTCAGAACCTTTCTTAAGTGAGGAAGATGGAATTCTTCTTAGAGGCCACTTTCTACACTTACCCGACTATTTCTCTATTTTCTATAAATACTACCATTATGGGTGATGCTTTAGGTATGAGTAATCCTTCCAAGGAAAGGGATACATGAAAGAAAAGTGTGAGGCGGTTGAACAAGAGAGATCGAAGCTTAAAAATAGCTATTGGTCCTTTAGGAGAAGGCTAGTCGGCATATAATCTCTTTAGGAGGAGGCCAAAGTTCATAGATCCCTTTCCTCTCTTGCTGCCAGGATTGTTGAGGTTGAGTTATTTATAGAAGCAGAGAAAAACTCTCGAAAAGAGGCTACCACTACTGCTGCGAGATGAAATCCTGTGTTGCAGAGGCCGTGAGAGATTTTCAATAAGAGAAGGAAACTCATGATAAGGACATCGAAACCTATGAGGGATTGGTGGCTAGATTGAGGAAGGAGGTTGATGAGGCCCTCCATCAAACTCTTAAAACAGTGTACATGGCCTTTGACCAATCCTTAAACTAAGTCGAAGCACTTCGTTCGTATATTCATATTCTATGTTCACAACTTGACCTACACAAAGTCGTTTAGGATGAAGCTTTCGTGGAGGATGACGGTGCAACACCTCAAGGTGGATATGCTTGATGTTATGTTTAATATTGATAGGGTGTTATTATGCCCTTATGGTTTCCTATTACATGAATAAACAACAATATCTTATTTATTTGCCTTTCTTTGTTCAAAATTTTCTTTATTCTTGTCATGATTTGTTTAACATTCTTTCTGCTCTTCTTGCTACACCATCTGGGTCATCCTTGACTCGCTATCAAACACGTGACTAAATTACATCTATAAAAAAATATCTACCCATTCACATTATAATTTCTTTTTAAAGTTAAAAGTTAATATGTGAATGGATGGTCACGAAAGATAAACAATAACTAACTTAACAAACACGCGACTAAATTAGAAAATAAATAAATGGTGTCTTTATATGATTTTGATCATGCAAAGAGAAACATAACAAAGAAATTTCCAATTCATTAGAACAATAAAGTTTCCATAATAGCAATAATTTATTAGAAGACAATTTAGAAAAAACGTCTAGTGAACAGTTGCTTAAGAATTGAGTTGATAAGATCAGAACTAGTACTTCTTGATGAATTCATAAATGTGATTACTGATTTCCTCAGCAGCTTCTTGGTTATTGAAGTGAGCCACACCTTTCTGTATAACTACTTCCTCCAAATTTGGCACATCTTTCTTGAAATTACCACTCTCAATGTATTGCTTCGAACCAAAAGAAAGGTAAACTAAATCCAAATCACCTGTGATGAACTTCACAGGTACTTTAATTTGCGCTCCGGTCCATGCTGCTGTCAACTCCCAGTTTCTGTAAGCATAATAAACAGACATGAGCATAGTATTATAAATGGCATGTGAATGTTGGACATAGAAATAGACTTACAAGTTGAAATTTCTATAATAGTTAAGGGCACCAGTGAATCCTGTCTTTTCAAATTTAGAAGCATAATAATCGATATCTTGTTGTGAGAGCCAAGAAGGGAGGGGCTTCGTAACTATAGCTTCTGGAAAAGCTAGGAAGCCTTCTTTGGGGATTATTAATGGCTTATCACTCCTACCTGTAAGCATGGCCTTCATAACTAGCTCTGGGCTTTTTGCAAATTCAGCTTCTGTTTTCCCGGGTTCCTGTGTCACATGTGTTTGTATTGGATTATGTAGAATAAAACCTAGTACAATAGTACTAAAAAAATTGGGTACTATAAAGTGAAAGATACTATTAGTAATAGATAAACACCAACATTTCTTAATTAATTAATAGTAAAAACAAAAATATGAACAAACCTGAAATCTGCAGACATAATAATCATCGCCAAACAGAGCTCGCATGGCATCAACAGGTTTGACTTTAGGATTTCTCGGAAAAAATGGAACACTGAGACACACATAAGCTTTGATTCTCTCTGGTCGAAACAAACAGAGATTCCAACCAATGGTAGCACCCCAATCATGAGCCACCAGAAACACTTGTTCAACACCGAGTGAATCAATAAGAGCAACTATGTCACCAACCAAATGGAAAATCGCGTAGCTGTTAATCGAAGAGGGAGCATCGGTGTCACCGTAGCCGCGGAGATCAGGAGCCACCGCGCGGTAACCGAGGGAGCCGAGAGCAGCAATCTGGTGGCGCCATGAGTACCAGAGTTCAGGGAAGCCGTGAAGGAACAAAACAACCGGTCCTTCTTTTCCTTTCTCGGCGATATGCATCTTGATTCCATTCGCTTCAACTGTTCTGTGCTCAATTCCTTCCATTATCGATTTCTTTTGCGTGGATTTGTGAAGTGAATTCGGTATGGTTTCAACTTTCAACTTTGATGAAGTGTGCGTGACAGAATGAGGAAAACTTCATACTGCACGTGGATGGAAATTTGGTGACTATCCCTATTTTAAAACAAATAAATAGTAAATATAACAATAAATAAAGGAAATAGATGATTTCGATCAGACTCTTTTTTAATCCATGCATAACTGTCCATTTAATTTTCTTATCAACAAATTTTAACATTTATTTATGACAAAAACTGACAGTGTAAAATAATTGTGTTAAATCATATTTTTATTTTTAAATAAATAATAAATTTTTATTAGATACTAGTATAAAACTATTGTACACAACAGTCGATACATTACTTTTAAACTTTTTATTTATTAAAAAAAACGTAAACTACTAAAAATAATGAATTGTGATTTTATAAAATAAAAAACATAAAAATTGAATTGTGGGTTTAGTGATTATCGAGTTAATATAGAGTAACTGTTAATTTAGATATAGGGTTAAATATATTTTTGATCTTATAAGTATCTCAAATTTTATTTTTAATTTCTATCAAAAAAATAATAAATTTTAATTCCTAAAAAATTTGTGTTCATTTAGATTTAGTCTCTGTTATTTTCTAAAATTTTAAAAACTGTTTAATTATCCTTAAACTTTTAAAATTTTGAATAATATTTTTTATATGTGTTTAGAATACTATAAATTATTTCTTTATCAAATTTTAGAATTTTTTAAAATGAGAAGAATTAAATATGATTTTTTTAAATTTCAAAAGATATTGATAAAAATAATAAAAATCTCGATTGAGAAATCAAATTTTGAATTTCTTTGTTTTCAAAGAACTTTTTATAACATTTTAAACATATTTACAAAATAATCATTCAAAAATACACATTTATTTTATAAAAGGGATTAAAACTGTGTGCATAATAATTTTGTAGAGACTAAAACATATTATTATTTTAATAAGGACTAAAAATAAAATTTAAGATATTTATAGGAACCAAAAATATATTTAACGCTTAGATATGTTAAATTGTAATCCAATGTGTCGAAACTATGTGTCGAAAAGATTTGGTTTGTTTTAGATTTAAATAGATTTGATTTAAGTCTAAAATAAATTAGATTTGATTTAGTAACAAAAAGATATTTTGGGCTTTGGGCTTTGGGTGTAAGCTCAGTTATAAATAGAGGGAGTAACCCCTATTTTTGTAAGCAAGTCAAGCAAGTTATTCACATTATTTTGCAGTTGCAAAGTGAATAAGAAAGTTTTCACAGTTTGTGAGCACAGAGAAATTCTGCAGAAATTATTTGTTTTGTCTTCTTTTCTTTGTTTGTCTCATAATTAAATTGTCATTGTGGTAGAAATTCATCATAGAATTTGATGGATTTCCAACATCTGGTATCAAGAGCTTTGTTTCGATTCAAGGAAAGTGTCAATCAAGAACGATTGAAGAATTCACAATGACAAGTTATGGGAATGCAAATTATCCAGCAACCCTACCAATTCTGAAAGTTGACAACTATGAGAATTGGTGCAAACAGATGAAAGTCTTATTCAGGTGTCAAGGTCTTTGGGACCTTGTAAAAGATGGAGTCGAAGCGCTTGGAGAAAACGCTTCAGAAGAAGAAAAGAAGAAATACATAGAATCTGAGAAGCTGAGTTATAAAGCATTATTTATAATTCATCAATGTGTCAGCCCAGACAATTTCGAAAAGGTTAGTGATTCAGAATCTGCAAAAGAAGCTTGGGAAATCCTTGAGGAGTCTTTTGGAGGCGCTGAGAAAGTGAAAGAAGTGAGGTTACAAACTCACAAAAGGACCTATAAACTACTTCAGATGGAAGACAGTCAAAGCATATCTGATTTCTTCACTAGAGTTACAAAACTAGTAAATCAAATCAAGATATGTGGAGAAGCGTTAACAACAAGAGTTGTTGTGTCGAAGATCTTGAGATCTTTAGCTCCTAAGTTCGACCACATAGTGGTGGCGATAGAAGAGGGGAAAGACTTGTCGAAATTGACAAAGGAAGAGCTTCAAGGGACGCTTGAATCTCATGAACAAAGAATGAATGAAAGAGCTGCAGGAAAATCGAAGAGTGGTGTGGTCTTGCAGGCACATTCAGCAAAAGAGACCAAAGGCAAAGGAAAGTGTTTCGACAGAGGTAGAGGTGGCTACAACAAATCGAATGGTAGAGGAAACCAGATTGAAGGAAACATGTCGAATCAAAGAATACCATACCAAGGCAACCAAAGAGGTGGTGTTGCAAATAGAGGAAGAGGTGGTGGTCGAAAACCTGATAAGAGTCACATTCAATGTTACAATTGTCAGAAGTATGGTCACTATTCGAGTGATTGTCCAGAAAAACGAAAGAATCAAGAAAGTGATGCAAAGCTTGCAAAACATGAAGAAGAAGAAGAGATGATGCTGATGGTCACAACAAGAGATGAAGATAGATTCAAGGACCAATGGTATTTGGATTCAGGATGTTCATCACATATGTCTGGAAGGAAAGACCGGTTCGTCAATATAAATCCCTCAATGAAAAATATGGTAAAATTTGCAAATGACAATACCCTAGCAGCGGAAGGTATTGGTGATGTTATGATTATGAGGAAAGATGGCAAAAGGTCAGTAATCTCTAATGTGTTGTACATACCAGGCATGAAGAGCAATTTTCTCAGTATAGGGCAGTTGGTCGAAAAGAATTATAAAGTGTCAATCGAAGATAAAATGATGAGAGTCGTTGATGCAAATGGGAGATTAATCTTGAAGGCTCCTATGTCTCAGAGTCGAACCTTCAAGATTGAACTAAATGTGATGGAGCACAAGTGCCTTTCGACTGCAGCTAGCAGAGATGAATGGATATGGCATTATAGACTAGGCCATCTCAACTTCAGAGACATCAGAGATTTGAAGAGAAGAAATATGGTTTCAGGATTGCCAGAAATTGAAATTCCAAACGAGGTATGTGAGGAATGTGTGCAGGCGAAGCAACACAAGAATAGCTTCAGCAAGGATGCAGGAAGCAGATCGAAGGCTAGTCTTGAAGTCTTATACTCTGATGTATGTGGACCAATCCAGGTGGATTCAATGGGAGGTAACAAATACTTTGTTACATTCATAGATGATTTCAGTCGAAAGCTATGGACTTACCTGATCAAGAAGAAAAGTGAAGTGATCGAATTATTTACCAAGTTTAAGTCTATGGTCAAAAGACAAAGTGGTCGAAAGATCAAAGTTTTGAGAACAGATGGTGGTGGAGAATATGTGTCGAAAGACTTCGACAGATTATGTGAAAAGGAAGGGATTGTGCATGAGGTGGTGCCACCCTATACTCCACAACAAAATGGAATTGCAGAAAGGAAAAATCGAACCATCATGAATATAGTGAGAAGTATGTTGAAAGGCAAGAATTTACCTAAAGAGTTTTGGGATGAAGCTGTTTCGACTGCAACATACATTTTGAACAGATGTCCTACAAAGAAGCTAGAAATAATTACTCCAGAAGAATGTTGGTCTGGTGTGAAGCCTAGCTTGAGTCATATGAAGGTATTTGGATCTATTGCACATAGACATGTGCCAGATTAATTGAGAAGAAAACTTGATGATAAGTCAAGTCAAATGATTCTAGTTGGATATCATTCGACAGGAGGCTAAAAGTTGTTCGATCCAGTGAAAAAGAAGATTGTGATCAACAGGGACGTGATCATAGATGAGTTTAAAGAATGGGATTGGACTGAAAATATCAAGAAAGATTCAGTGGGAATCCTTCTTGAAGAGCCAGAAACTCAAGTCAAAAGAGAAGTTCGACAAGAGGAACCAGCAGATATACCAAGTACAAGCAGGCCTCAAAGAACAAGACGCATGCCTGCAAGATTTCAAGATTGTGTGATTACATAAGATGATGTAATAGATAATGAAGGTGAGCTGGTACATTATTCTTTCTATGCAGATGTCGAACCCATTAATGCAACTGAAGCATTAAAGGATTCGAAGTGGGTGAAAGCAATGAATGAAGAAGTAAAGTCTATCGAAGACAACAACACTTGGTCACTTGTCGAATTGCCTCAATGCAAGAAGGCAATTGATGTCAAGTGGGTATACAAAGTGAAAACGAATTCGAAAGGTGAAGTAACTCGACACAAAGCAAGACTTGTGGCGAAAGGATTTCTACAGAAAGAAGGAACAGACTTCGATGAAGTTTTTGCACCTGTTGCTAGGATCGAAACAATTAGGTTGGTTGTTGGTCTATCATAAATAAACAGTTGGCACATATGTCAGATGGACGTGAAGTGTGCATTCCTAAATGGACCCTTAGATGAAGAAGTCTATGTTAAACAACTAGTTGGGTTTGTGAAACATGACGAAGAAAGAAAGGTGTACAGGCTACATAAAGCCCTGTATGGATTGAAACAAGCTCCAAGGGCTTGGAATAAGAAAATTGATAGTTTTCTAAGGGAGAAGGAATTTGTGAAGTGCACAACTGAACATGGAGTATATGTAAGAAGAAGCAAGAGTAAATTGCTTATACTATGTCTCTATGTAGATGATT